AGCTCCTTCCACTTGACCGCATCCAGCACAGAGCGGCTCGAATCGTCGACGACCGAGTCCTTTCCGATCGGCTCAATTCATTGGCACTGCGAAGAGATGTTTCATCCCTTTGCATTTTCTTTCGCATTTACCACGGGGGTGCTCTGAGGAATTGTTCGGATTAATCCCAGTCGCCAAATTTCACGAACGCACATCGCGGAAGAACTCCCGATACCATCCACACCATCTGGATGATTGACGGTCCACCACTGTGCTATTTAGAAGACTTTTCTTCCTCGCACAACTTCCTTGTGGAATCGATTACCATCAGCGATTTTTCCGGACCGATACGACTTAAGGACCTTCAAGAAAAGAGCCTACTCCTTTTTAAAAGGCCGGCAACGCATCTGTAATTCCCCTGGTTCCCCTGGTGTTGCAGTTATTCATGGGCGGGGGTAGTCACTTACCATCAGGTGAGCCGCATACTCGTTTGCCCCTCTCCTATAAAAAATAAAAAATAAAATAACGCACTTAACGGGAACCCCGGGGTTTTTGTTGCATGTGAACCCCGGGGTTTTTGTTGCATGTTGTATACAAAATTTACGATTTCATTTATTACATTTTACTTAGTACTACTTGTCCTGTCTGAATCAAAAGGTTAGATTATTTTAAAATAACAAAACGGCGCTATGTATCGAAATCAACCTTTAAGCATTTCATAGATATAATCCGCTACCTTATATAATCCCGTGGGTGTCGTAAGAGGTGACAGAAAAAAAATAGAAACAGATGTGCAGCTGTGGTTTCGAACTCGCCTACCAACCATGGCAACTATGCGCCCTGTGAGGCAAATCTATGAGGGAGGTGCGCAACATTAGACTTTTGACTGAGTCTAATGAATGGATTAAAAAATAAGAATTTCCGGGTTTGGACAGTAATTAAAAAATTAAGATGTCACAGCCACTTTATTATGCATCACTTTACAATGTTTATTTACAAAATAACTTCGCAGATATGTTTTATGTGTTTCGATTTCTGACAGTATGTATTTAACATTTGTTTGTATATTGATAGTAATTAAAATATCACAGTTACTTTATCAAACATCACTTCGACATTAAATTATAAATTAATTTCGCTGATTTTTTTTTTGTTTCTACGTTTTTCGTTTTCGGACATTACGCATTCAACATTTAATTGTTGAATATTTACTTCATTTTTACTAACAGAATTCAAAAAAATTAGAAAGTTCTATATTCGACGCATATGTTTTTTTTTTATCTATGTTCATCGATTTCTCGGAAACGGCTAAACCTATTTTAATATTTCTTTTTTAGGGTTTCGTACCCAAAAGGTAACCAACAGGACCCTATTACTAAGCCTCCGCTATCCGGCCGTCCGTCCGTCTGTCTGTTAGCGGGCTGTATCTTATGATCCGTAATAGATAGACAGTTGAAAATTTCACAAAATGTGTATTACTGTTACCGTTACAACAACAAATTACAAAATTAAAATAAATTAAAAGGGGCTCCCCTACTAGAAACGTGTATTACAATGGTACCGAACCTTTAATGCGCAAGTCCGACTCGCACTTGGCCGGTTATTTATTAAAGAGCTTACATTTGAGGCGTGGTCCCATGAGCAAAATCCCACCCCTAGGTAAAAAATTAGAGATAAATTTTAAATGTCACTATTTAGACGACATTCCAGTTGTTCCTTGAAATTGTGATATTGCTTATACATAAACTGTCACGTTATACATAAACTTCTTCCCGTAAATAATACTATTTGTAATATAATGATTTCTTATATTTACGCGAACACTACACATTTTTAAATAAAACTAATTTTTAAATAAATTTGTAATAACAAAAAAAGTAGAAAGGGGAATAAAAATATTTTAATTAATAATTTAAAAAAATGTGTTGCACTCCTGTTCCTGTATTTTATTTTATGGCCTATGTAAAAAACATACACAGTATTTCAATTAGATAATTACAACGACGAACACCTCTGCTAATTATTTTATCTCAAGCTTGTATAAACTATTAAATAAAGCCGCATTAAGCCATTTTTGGAACTATCCGATAATTTACAATATTAAATACTGTTGCAAATTTTTAACGGAGAATGTTTGTATTAATTATATAAAACACACATATAATCCTTCTCTTGCTTCTCATTAGCCCAATAATTTTCACTGCTGTACTTGAGAATCTGTAGGAAGGTTGTAGGAAAGATTCTCTATAATTTTCTCGCAACTTTGTCGTTGCGTACCACCGCCGATCTTCTTATTTTACATCTGACGTAAACGCCATGCCATTAATACTTCATGGCTTCCGATAAATAGAGGTATAACCATCAATACCTCCATTTATCGGAAGCCATGAAGTATTAATGGCATTTCACCATAGTGGCTTACGAGAGGTATGAAATGAGTTGATAGGTTCTCTTACGCCGTTATACGTTACACTTACACGACAAGGTCATATTATTGAATAATAAAAATATACCTACATTAGATGTCTTTTAAGTCAGGTCGTTTCGTTGATATTACTAAACGGTAAAGTATTTTTACAGTTAGAAACCATTCGCAAAGAAAATAACATTATTTATGTATCAGATCCGAGGCTAAAAACTAGTTATTGATTCACACCAATTCCATGTAATTTTATAAAATTACGTGCCTAGTGATAGAAGTAAACATTTTTGGAGGTAAATGTGCTATATACAGGCTGTCCCAAAAAACTGTGTCAAGCGGAAATCCAGAAATAGAGCAGCCTTGGGGTATCCGAATCACCACCATGTATTTTCCGCGAGTTTTCGTTGCAAACAAAAAATCTCTCAAGCGGAATTCCAGAGATAGAGCAGCCTTGGGGTATCCGAATCACCACCATGTATTTTCCGCAATTTTTCGTTGCAAACAAAAAATCTCGAAAAAGCCTTCTACTTTTTTTTAAGTTGATCATGTCGAAAATTATAAAAAATTCAGATAAAAAATCATAACTCAAAAGCTTCCAAAAATACGCGGAACATCCATGGGGGCGCTTCGGGTACCCTGAGGCTGCTCTATCTCTGGACTTCCGCTTGCCACTATTTTTGTAACAATCTGTATATTATATAGCTAAGTGCTATCTGTCATACGTATTTTAAACGCAGCTGCCTACATCACTAATAACGTTATATCGACGCTTAAAAGGCATTAATTACCAAACGACATATTGGCAACTTTACACTAGAAAGCATTTTAATTTTTTTTTTAATTCGTAAAAAATCGCCTATTATTCATTACATACATACTACCCGATTCCAATGAATGTTACATGCAGATTAAAGGCTTAGTAAACTGACATTTAAAGATTATGATTTTTTTCAATATTTTATGTAATAGTGTCGGTTAGTAATATTTTTATTTTTTTATTTTACAATTGTATTTAAAAAAATGACACATCCAGAAGTAACGCATGTTTAACATATAGGTAAAATGAACTAAATAGAAATCAAAAAACTTTTCTGCCAGCCAATTTCAATCATAGTACAAATGAAATAAGGTTAGTGTAGGTTTTTTTTGAACAAGTTACAATAAATTAAGGTTTTACTTCACAAAATCAAGGACTTTCCGGCAAAGGCTTTCGACGGGCATCGTCATCTTCATTATCATTACAGCCCTTGTAGTAATCTACGATCGAATTAGAGCATAATCAACCACGCTGCTCTAGTGCGGGTTGATGGAGGTTTTTGGCCAGTGACTAACCATTTGTTAATGACGTCTATATTATATACCTGTAACATACGAATATTGCAGATTTAAGATAACTTAAATCAACTGTTTGTAAAAATAAACTAAAATAATTACTATTATACTAATACTATTACTATAATAAGTAATTTCATAATCAGTATAGGTAGGTCAAACACAATTTCAACTTAGAAGAAAATTGCTATCAAATTTTTATAATATTCTAAAATTACAAAAACGTTTCACAATCAAAACATGAGTGAAAATATTTTGGTAAACTATCAATTAAACAACACAATTGAGATAATTTATAGAATCAGGCGTTACTTTGCGGAAATCCATTATATTAAAGTTGGTAAAAATTACCTTGCGTACGTCCGCTCGATAAAATAAAATGATGATAAATGATGAATGATATTAGGTTGCCTATGCGACAGTTCGGTGAACACTAATCGATAGTTTGTTACCAACAGCCATCAGCCACCAGCCACTCAAAATCTGCTTTACAGTGCGTATAAGCGACAAAACAAAATACTGCATGTATTTTGTTTTGGGTAAAGGCTCAAAGGCACAAGGCCCAAGCTCATTTTTATACAAATCTCATATCAGAAATAGTTATGCAAATAACAAAAACAGCATACCATACGACAAAATATATCCTTTTTAGACAGGAAAAGTACTACTATATTACGTCTTTAAGTAAGCATTTAGAAAAAAAGTACTAAATGAAAATGTGTACATAATTAAGGAAAAAAAATACTTTGTGTTTAACCGCATTAATTTGAGTCAAGGCAAAAATTACTATGTGTATAATAAACTTAAAATCGAATCCAAATGAAATTTGTTCATAAATCAGAAAACTGTCAAAATGTGATTTTTGAACAAATGATTAGTGATTATATTCTCTTTGCAAATGATAACTAAAATCTTCCTAGCGGTACGACAGTATGACATATCGACGCAGAATTTTTGCCGGTTTCAATGATGTATTATAACTCAATATCACCCAAAATGTCACTGGGTAATTATTGCCTTTCAAGTGTCGATATGCACAACTCTAAGTTTTTCAGCAAGTTCTATCTGATTTTATCATATTTTACAGCGAATTACGCAAACATTCTGGAGTTATTTAATGATATTATAATCTTCAAGCCAGAATCCTGCCTACGGGAAGGACTTATTCCTCACTAAATCTTCAGTCAATCAGTCACTAAATCCTCAGGAAATCATCATAGAAGATTCTGGCTTGAAGAACGCAAAAGAAAGGTGTTTATTGTGCAATTCATGTAGAACATTTCTTGTCAAAATTTTCTTTCGATAACATGACGTCCTTTGTGAGATCGACGAATGTGTCGAAATCGCAGAATGATGTATCCCCACAGCCAGCTATTGGTAGTACAACGCCCGGTCCACCAGCCTTCGCTGAATATACTGCCTGTTATAATACATTTTTTATATTAATTATTTAATTAAATCTTATTTTTACAATAATTGAAATATAAACTACGAGTACAATTGTTTGCTTGTTATTTTTTTTGAAACTGTTCATCTTTAAGAAAGAAAATAAAATTATTAATACCGTGTCTAATACACGGTATTAATAATTTTATTTTCTTTCTTAATATATGGTTATGCTATCTTAAATTAAATCGAAGTACGCTTGTTAATATTTATTTAAACCTATTTCTTTTTTAATACCATGCAATGCCAATCTATTTTGAATATCCGATTCACTTAACACCTTACAATTGTAGTGCGATCAATTTTACACAAATATAAATCATGGACGAACACAAAATGTACAAGAATTAAAATCAATTATTACAATCGGTACAATGTGATAACATTTAATTTAATTTTGTTAGTGTTCGACAACTTTTTTTTTAATTCTACGCATTTAAAGTCACGCGGTATGTAAGTGGGAAATTTTAAATTATTCCGTAAAGTGTGAAATCGAAGGCGATGAGTTTTAAAAGTAATGTTAGATAAGCTCATGAATATTATTGTATGTAATGTAATCACGTTACTTTACATACAATAATATTTTTGTTTTATTTTCAGTACTTTGTCACAAAAAGAGGATCCAACTCTTCATAAGTTTGAATCGATAAGCAATATTTTCACTATAAGAAATATAGATTAGGCTTAATAAGGATATTTAAAGTCCTTCGTCGTGTTTGTGTATGCGTTAGTCTCAAAACCAACCGTGCGGATTTTGAATCGATTTACACCAAGAGACAGACCAATTTGTGAGGAGGGTTGGATGATTTGTCGAAAAACATCATCTATTCGCTTTCTACATCTCTTATCAGGTCGAGACGATATATTATGACTATTGGGATCTCGCAATTAAAAACATAGTAAATGTTCAGTTTACAAAAATCGTTTGTGCAACTAGGTGCAAATCCTTATCAAATTTACTATAATCATCGGCTTACGCATTTTATCTAGATTTACACAGTCTTTATCCCAAACCTTTTGGCCCAGTAGTTTAGCAAGTGGTTTTCGTAGGCAAAAAAATTACCATGGACTGTGTGATAGCCGAGCGTTTAAAATGTTAATATCAGTGGGATAAGGACAGAATATAATATAATAGAATAGAATGATTTTTTATGCAATATTGATTATTACATAATACTTATTGATAGTTTTTTATTTATTTATCACTCACGCAGACAGATAGATCGGGGACACTTAGTGCTACTTGTACGAAACCGGGGCGATTCAATTGTAACTAATTTATGGCAATGGGACGAGTGGTGGGTGTAGTGTACTAAAAAAAGTAACAGCCTTAATACGTCCCATTGCTGGGCACAGACTTCCTTTCCTCTCATCTAGGGAGGGCTTAATAAGGTAATTTTGAATGATCAGCTAAGCTCATCTAATAGTTAAGTTACTACTGGATCTCATGAAAACGGTAACTAACTTCAAACAAAGGACGCAGTTGGTATTGTCACCCTTGAGGATAATATAGGAATACCTCACAGTGTGTAATTATATTGGCTCTCTTAGCCTTCAAACCGGAACAGAGTAGTTTACTGTCGCTTGTCGGCAAAAATAGGTATCAACCCAGACGAACTACCTCAATAGAATGGAGTCCTCATTTCCTGCCCAGTCGCTCTCAGTTGGTAGGTACCTAGTAAATCTGTAATCAACGGGAAATCGTTCACAACACGCACTGGAACAACAGTAGTACCTAATTAAAACACTGCAGTGCGAGTTTTTAACCCGACGGTTGTTGAGCACAGAGGAGAAAACTCGCACTGCCACACCTAGTGGTTGAACGTAGTGAGTATGGGAAAATCTCGCAAGACCAGTTTAGTAGTCTTTTAAAAAGTAGTTTATCATTTGGCACATTTTTTGTACCTTTCCAAGAATGTCAAAGCTAAGAAAGCAAATAATTTGTGTATATAAACTGCACGATACAGGAGAAAATCCTAGTTTGGAGATAACGCTTTTATTTAAAAAAATACATATAATCAATTGTGTCAATCAAAGTAAGGCCTGTAAAAAAACGTACCATAAAGCCATATTGGCCTGTTTGCTTTCGCTTCCTCAATTCTATTGAAATAGTTGATCCATATTTCGGTTGATGTGGTTGGAATACCCGCGCGGCGGCCATTAAGCCAGCCACATTATTTTCGTGAGCCGAGTATAATCGTAACTTAGGTTGGTCCAAGTTACCAGCAATCGCCATACTTGACGCGTTTACAATATCTGCTAGAAGCACTCCTGTAATGAATAATAATGGTTTTAAAACAAGAAAATCTGAATAAGTTCAACGAAAATAAAACCAAAAATTACCTGATGCAAGTCGCGTTAAATCGTTATCGTAAAATTCGATAGCGTATTCAATTTTTGTCATTTCTTTTATTCTAGGCATTACATCTTGTGCCCATTTAGGTGGATTTACTCCAACATTTTCCTTTAAATTTAAATATAACCTTATTAATTTGAATATGGAATTGCTTATTAAATTTACTACTAGATAATACCCCTTTGAAAATGCTCCGCGAATAATGTGCGACAGAACCACACGACTTGGAGTTTTTTGTGTGGTCCAAATTGGGTAGTAGAGTTGTAACCGCATAGCAAATATCCCTTTTCTGATTTGAGTTCCATATTTTTAAATGATTACTACACCATCAGCGGAGTTTAAAAGAAAATATTGTTACATCCTCCTATCACACCCTTATAAAAGTAATATTTATAATAGTACTTACTAAAGTTTGAAACAAATTATCTAAGAAGAAAACGTCCTCAGGAGTAGTGATGTTTGTACCGGTTTTATCGCTCAAGTAAGTGAACAAACTTGCGTACGGTTCCAGCCATTTTTTGACCTCCGGTAACTCATATATGCTATTCCTCATTTTCGTGTACGGGGGACAATTATACCAATATAAAAGCTGTTAAAGATAAAATTTATAAAATTATCATAAACATGATGTGTAGAATTACCAGTTTTGACAATTTTTTAACAAGCGATCCGCCCCGGCTTGGCCTGGGTGGGTCATAATCATTGAAGACCATTTATGTAATACATTTTTCGAATATTTTTTTAACAATCCTTTTTTCTGATAAAATATAGCCTAGATCACTCTTGTCATTGGATGCTTTCTATCTGTTAGTGAAGTTACATTACAAACGATTCAGCCATACCGAAAATAATCCCCTCAGCTCAATAAAAATCAGTTATTTCGATATTAAGACAGACACTTCGGTTTTATTTATATGTAGGTATAGATATAGATTATTAGTAAACTGTATCTAAATACTCTACGGCACAATTAAGTTATCTAACAGTAGTCATGAGCTAATTTTATTTTTAAATTTGTATGAGAATATCTTTTTTATTATACTCTACTTTTTAATACTTATATAAAGTTATGTTTACTTACATCATCGCTCTCATATTGAAGTGTATCGTAAGGGACTGGTTGCCAATCTAGTGCAGGATTCCACCTTTGAGGGGGAAGTGGTGGATATAAGGCTGCCATTGCCGTCAAAGCTGTCATTTTTGTGCGATCGAAGTCCGTAGTGCGTACATTTATCTCATCAGGAAGGTAAAGTCGTGAAATTAAATTATTGTAACGCTTCCTTAAGTACTGCCCGACCTTGTAGCCCCGCTGCTTACCTTTCTATCAAATAAACCTCCATTAAATAAACCGACAAGGAAAATACGCTGTATAAAGACGACACAGTAAAAGATAATGTTTATAATAAGTGTCGGTTTGTCCTTCTGCCAAAAATGTATAGGTACTGTGATAAAAATGAGTTTTGCAAAATACACGAGCCATTTCTACGTCATTTCTTTTATGAGAATTTGTTCTTTTTTAACTTTACTAGATCTTAAGGCACCTATCCTGCCACCTTGCTATAGTGCGTTGATAGCCTTCTCTGTGTCAAGTTGGTTGTAGCTGTCCATTGGCTATGAGAGCCATTTTCAATGTTAGATTCTTTAATTTTAAAAAACTCAATTTTTTTTGACTAGATATTCTACTTACATATTTTCAACCAATACCTAATTTAATTTTAATTATGTTGATTTAATCTACGTCTAAAATCATTAGTGACATTACGGTAAACCAAAGTGTAAGTTGATCTTATTGTGTTGTATCTAATAGTAGTGCAAATTATATAAGTAATTAATATTTTAAATAACTCAATATTTTTTAATTTGAATAGTCGGAAAGACACACTGACGGGGAAACGTTATTGGTATTACATTATCATATTTCAATAGTGTAGTAAATCAAGACGTGACCGAATACCTGAAAGAAAATGTAGAAGAATATACATTTTATTGTTATTTGTAACTGTGTCGTTGTGTATACTTTGTGTATAAGTGCAATGCTTTACATAAATTTATGTCCTTTGTATTTCATAGATCTATGCCGACATAAAAACCCATTGCCAAGGCTATGTTTACTTAATTGCTACCCATAACTATACTATTATGTATTCTGTGCCGTAACTAAATGTAACAATCAAAAATATTAAAGCCCTCAAGACCGAATTTCGTTCACGCCCTGTTTAGCGCAGGTGGCAATAGTCTCAAAGGAGACTTCTGCGCAGGACAGGATTCCAATTGAAAATAATGTGTGCACAGGTGCACACAATATTTCCAATTGGACAACAATCCGAGACGACCGCCGAGGCAGTCAGAAAAAACGAACATAATTCACATATATCACGTGATGGCAAAACATTAATTTATGAAGCTTAAATTGAATTATTGTTACTATGATGTATGTCTCACCAAATTAATGGTGTTATAATATTGATTATTTATGGAGTGTTTTACGTGGTAGAGCCTTGTTGTAGCTATGTTATGGTTGTAGCACGAATAACCAACCGGTGACCCCTTTTAATGGAAACTAAGCATGCCACCTTAGTCCTCAAGGGTGATAACGCATCTGCATTATGTTTCTTAATGGGGATAGATGTAGATATCTATGGACCACAGCATCCATCTACCATCAGGTGAACTTAGTGATCATTGGTTTATACATATATATGATGAACTTCGTGATTATTCGCGGATCGCTAAGACGCAACACATGTATTGCAACTTGGTATTAAAAAAAATATCTATTTTTTTTGAACTGTTCTATTGTAATTTTTATTTGATCTGTGTGCTCGCTTGTCACGTTTATTCTATAAATAAAATATATCGAATTTATAACACTAAGCATTTATTATAAAACTTAATTATGAAGTATACAGCAAAACATGTTTCGTTACTAGTGGTAATTTTAATGTTTAACAGACACATACATACATAAATCTCTCTCGGCTGTCACCCAAAGGAGTAAGCAAACACCACAGACTCAATTTGACACGATCCTGACACACCTTTCTCGTTTCTTACACATTTATATAACACGCATACATACTCGTTGGGTAAGGATACTCTTAATAAGGCCAATCTGTAATATATCGTCAATTTGATCTATAAACTTCGGTCTAGGGCCTCCCTTACTGAATCTGCCACTCACTTCTGCAACACAAATTTGCTTTATCACTCTAGTCATTCATTCTTTCTTCGTGTCCAAACTACAGAAGCATATCTTTCTTAACCCTGATCTCAATTTTTTCTTTTGCAAACCATACGCTTCTCTGAATACACAATGTTTAACATTATTACGTTAAATCATATCAACTCACATTTGTTAATGCTTTCTTTCCAAAAGGAAAGAACAGAGCGTCATTTTTCTCTTTAGATGGATACTTGTCCAATTCTTCTTCATCTGGTGTTCTATCCCCATGTCGGAACATCTGCCAAAATAAATATCTATTTAGAACTAAATAATAAAAATTTCTCATCAAAAACATTATATAGTAATGGCTCAAAATTTTCTCTTGAACTATATTAAAACACATTTCATATTTACAGCATACATCAATAATTGTTTAAACCTTAATAACAATCCTGATCGTTTATAATTCCATATACAAATAGCGCTTATTTGAAAAATCGGCATAGAGGATTATATTATAATTCTATATGCAGATTTTATTATCAATACTCAATGTGTGATTTGCAAGAAATAATAGTGCATATGACAAGCGGGACCACCTAGTTAAATTGCGCGAATAGTTCACAGCGTATACGTACCACAAAGGCAAGCACCGGCTCAGTATCATCCTTACTATTATGAATGTCAACTTCGATGTTTGGTTCTATCATTTCTGCTGCCTGTTTGTATCTCAGCGTGCTCCCACGATCCGCGGCTTCCAACACCACAAGTACCACCACCAAAAACATAAACCTCATTTCAGAACGGTTTTAAGCGACAGCGTGCAAAATGTGACTTATCGGCATTATGTACGCGCGATCGCGTGCCTATTTCGACTGAAATACTTCAGAGTCTTTGCTCCATTTATATAGTGTTAGATATAACTAGTGATAGATACAAGAGGACCGAGAGGGATTTGCTATAGAGTTTGAAATAAATGGTCTCGACAAACGACGATTTATTTATTATAAAATATAACTTAACCGTTTGCTGTGCGAAATGTTATCGTCTTAACAAAAATAATTAAATTAATACTGAGTAATAATGAATGACTGACTCGTCTATCAACGCACAGCCCAAACCACTAGACGTACATAGATATCTAAAATTTGGACTTTATATTTTACGGGGCGATTGACTCGAAACTTACTAAGGGTATACTGTTAATAAAATATATGAATAAGGATTTAGCGATTTTTTCAAAACAACCCCTTATAAGAGGGGGGCTAGATGTTGATCAAATTTGGGTTCCGTATGTATCGTAATTATTTAATTTGTAAGGTGGTGAGGATTCCCTTAAAGCGAAATTATGATATTTATGGATAGTAAACTTTAAAACTCTTAAAAAGTGGTTCGTTATAAATTGTAATTTGGACGATATATGATTATAAGGACAAAAGGCATTGAACACGGCGAATTTGTAGAGTCAAAAAGTTTCTGGAAGTCTTTGGACTCTACGGTAATAGAAAATGATTTATTTAAGTAGGATAATGAATGTCTTGAAGTACGAAGAAAAATATTTTTTGAGCGGTTATCACTATTTGAAGGACCGTAGTCTCATTTAAAATCTGCAATCATTAGCATTAGCATTAAAATAGTTTGAACTTTCCGTTTAATGCGATCTCATAATAAGCGTGGGTAATGATCAGGACGATACAACATGACGCGGGGCAAAAAGCTAGTTATACTATTTACTGCAATTAATATGTGTACATCGAAAATGGTAGACGTTTATTTATTATTTATTACAAATCGCCGAGAGTTAAACTTATATCATTCGATAGGCACTGTGCAATAGATGTACAAAAAATAAAATATTATGTGTATGTTGTTGTTAAGGCAAGTGAAATAAAGGGAACATACACACATTTTGTACGTGGTAGAGCCATGCTGCAGCTATATTATGGTTGTAGCCCGAATGGGTCGGCTCGACCGGGGTAGGACCACGCTCTCACAGAAAACCAGCGTAAAATAGCAGCTTAACGCTGCTGTGTTTCGTATGGTGAGTGTAGAGAACCGGAGACCCTTTTTACCGGCAAAGAGGCATTCCATCTTAGTCCTCACGGGTGACAACGCATCTGCATCTTGAGTCTTTATTGAGGATAGATGTAGATGTCTATGGGTCACAGTAACCACTTACCATCAGGTGGACTGTGTACTCGTTTGTCACCCGATCCTATAAAAAAAAACATGATTTATCCATAAAAAATGCTTAAACCAAATAAATGGTCGTAATTCGACCAGTATACATTTTCACTTGTATTTGCATATCAATTTTGATAAAATAATGAACAACTCATCCGATTTAGAATTCTCATATTAAAGATACGACGTGACGTAAGGAAAAATGTAACAGTCAGTTTACTGAGGATGTATCTTGAATTATTATATTTTTAACCTTAATATTTATAAAGAATTGAAAGGTCATCTGTTTAAAATCTTTTTTGTTTAGATTTGATGTACGTTGTGCAGTGCTTTGTTTATTATTTCCTTCGCCTATTTTCCCTTCATTATGTGCTTATGAATCAATTGAATTATTATTTTCTTAAAATATTTATCATTTTAATACTTTATTGATTTTCTGAATATTTTTTTATTTGCTAATGGGCCCGATTAACTGCTATACGATTAATCGGGCTTAAAATTATAAATGATTACTCGCTTAATAGGCAGATACCTAACATTTCGCATATATCTTGAACATAAAATGTGAATATGGGCGATGTGATAAATCCATAAAGCAAAAACGCTTTGGCTACTCCGCCGGTGGCCCGTGTTGCTCTATGGATAAATCTTATAAAGCAGAATTATTTGTCGTCTGTAATTTTAGGTGATTAGAACATGAAAATATTGCCCATGTAGTACAATCTTATAATAGGACATCAGTATATCATTGTAAGCGTAAGAATCTCTTTTACTTTGTATGAATCTTTTATTCAATCTAGGCTTGTTTATAGCTTTTATGAACTTCAAAATTAACACCGGTTCGCAAAAACATGACCATAGATAAGAACCTGCTTTATATTTACGTGGTAGAGCCATCCTGCAGCTATATTAGTAGTATAGTTGTAGCACGAATGGGTCGGCTCGACCGGGGAAGGACCACGCTCTCACAGAATACCAGCATAAAATAGCAGCTTAACACTGCTGTGTTTCGTATGGTGAGTGTAGAGAACCGGAGACCCTTTTTACTGGAAAAGAGGCATTCCATCTTAGTTCTCACGGGTGACAACGCATCTGCATTTTGATTCGCAAACGAGGATAAATGTAGATGTCTATGGGCCACAGCAACCACTTACCATCAGGTGGACTGTGTGCTCGTTTGTCACCCCATCCTATAAAAAAAACCTGCAAGAAACTGCAGGGTATTTTTTTAATTTTGTTCTTCAATAAAATCACTCTAACTTCTAATTTCTTTATATTTATTTTAAATGTTATTTATTAGTAGCCAGCATAGTAACAATTATTTCCACACATCATTGTCCTCAATATATTGACCTATGTTTCTTTACAAGGTTGAAAAGTTATATCCGATTCTTTCACTAGCTTGTTAGAAATTTTATAGTATTGTAAAATTTTATGCATTTACTCAAAAAACGCATTGTTTTGTCCAATCTACATTATGAAACTAGCGTGTCGACTCGACCCACATAAATGAAGACATTTTGTGTTAATATTTTTTTTCGTACATACATGATCTTCACAAAAATAAACAACGACGAATGTATTAAAATATTAGTCTCCTTTGAAAGGTCGCGTAATGACTTGCTAGTCGCTAGGCCCCAAGTTAAAATCCATAGAATTATTACGCTACTGTAATAGAAAATAATTCTATGTTAAAATCATTCATCATTCTAATATCTCTAGTAAGTAGCGAGAATTGCAACACTTAATTTCGAAGCTGGTTTATTAATATGTGCTCCCAACTGAAGCATAGAATCAATATAACTTTCGAAATATAAGCTATTATCAAGTTAATTGATTACAGCATTTTGTGGCGAATTAGAAAGTGTAAACTGTAAACTTTTTTTCGACGCTTAAAAACAAATTTGCTGCAAGCCATTTGGCAACAATATCCAGTATTTACGAATAATTCGCCCATTCCAGTGCATAGTCGTTTCTTTTAACTTAGCTATCATCAGCAAACAGAACTATCTCATTATCACTATGTCAATTTCTATACTTGTAAAACACTTGTTATAAAATGGCCTACGAAATAAAAAATAATAAATAAATAAATTATACATACATACATATAATCACGCCTCTTTCCCGTAGGGATAGGCAGAGACCAGTTCTTTCCACTTGCTACGATCCTTACATACTTGTTTTGCTTCGTCCACTATATGGAATAATGAAAGTGGACGAAGCAATAAATTATTATATATAAAAATAAATATAACGTATAATTTTTGGATGTGGCTTTTACTTTGCTTAGGAGAAGAACGCCCATTAAAATAAATGGATTAGTCTATTTGTTGTAATAATCAGTCCACTTTGAAGGCTCAAGGTGGTTAACTAATCTTATTTCTAGGTAATTTTTCTCGTTGTAATAATGAGAACAATTAAAAATATTTCTGAGGTTGTTAGTATTTTTTGCTACATTTATAGCGCTTCTCTTTAGGATACCGCAGGATAACTTTGTTGTCAGTCCGTCGGTCAAGATCCTTTTTCTCAGGAATAAGTAGAGATGTCAAATTGAATTAAATATCAAATAGGTACTAAGGTCTACAGTCCCCTAGGGGTAAAAAATCTATGGCTTATAATATTTTCATACTCGTCAACTCACTCATATACTTTTTTAGACCTACAATCACGCACACAGCACAAGTAAAGGATAAATCCGAAAAACGTTAACTCAAATTAAAGATTTAAGTGTCAAGTAAACAAATTTGCGTATACCTACATATAATAGGTCTTTACTCTTTACCTATGAAACTGCCGTTCTTCATTACTGGCCATTTCTAATCAAAACAATTTTCTGTTTGGCTAAGACTTCTAATTTCAAATTAATTTTGTTTTATAAAACATGGAATTCTTCAAAATTTTCAAATTGAGTCATTTGTTTATTGATTAGCGATAAGCGGCTTACTCACGGCTCAAAACGACAACGAGTAGGCTTGCCTACTCGTTGTCGTTTTGAGTCGTGAGTTGTGCAGGACGTTAGCACGACGTACAGCAAAATGGACCGTGAATAAGACGCTTTATGTTTTCATGGCATTTAAATCTTTTTCGTCATCATGAATACGTTAAAAATTCGAGTAATTATGGAATATGAGTATCGTCGTGGCAGCAACGCGTCACTAGCGGCACGCAACATCAACGACATTTACGGAGCGAATACTACAAACGAACGCACCACCTGTTACTGGTTTGCCCGGTTGAAATTTCGACCTGAAAAATGAACCCCGTGGTCGTCCGAAAACTGTGGTCGTCTTGCGAAATTTTTGAAAAATCAAATAACATTTTGTATGCCTACCACCTATAAAAATTCCTCATAATGTCAAACAGATTATTATTCACCACCTTCGGTTTGGAAACATTTATTTTATTATTTTTACAGGAATGAATGATGTGCACTACAGTGAACAATCATTTCTCGACCAGTTAATGGTGTGTACGGAATACGTCGATAAAGCGGAAAGATATGAACTCCTCGGACCGTTATACCGTCTCATCATACCGATTTACGAACGAAGAAAGGACTACCAAGCACTACTTGCCTGCTATCAGCATTTGACTAAAGCTTACGCAAAAGTTATCGAAGTCACAAACTCTGGTAAACGATTGCTCGGACGATTCTATCGGGTGGCATTCTTTGGAAAGGCACATTTCGCGGAAGACGAAGAGGGCGTCGAGTTTATTTACAAGGAACCAAAATTGACATCACTAAGTGAGATCTCCGAGAAGCTACAAACGTACTACGAACAAAAATTTGGCGTGGGCACCGTGAAGATGATAATGGATTCAGCTCCGGTTCGTATTCTATATATTATATAACCAATATATAATGTAGAGCAAAATAATTATCTAAAGAACGGCGTGTCCCTAAAATATTTCCATCGTGTACCTAGAAATTCTAATCAAAATATGGTAAATAAGCATTTTAACCATTTCACTGTTCCGTGAGTCATATATGAACATTTCGATTGTTTAACTATTGTGTCTATTTCGTCACGGACAGGGAAGTTGTTAAATTGCGATTAACCTTTTCATAATTCGCATCGAAACTAAACGCGCACTGATTACCTATGATTTTTAAAGCGAACACACACTTGGGCATCAGCTCCTAAACTTGTTATATTATTCAAATTTGAATCGGTAATGGTCTAGACGTAACATGTAACAGCAACTTTTTTTCTTGGTTATGTTTTTGCTGAGTCTGGTTTTTTGCAATTTTAAAATCCAGTCATCTGTAGTTTGTAGAGTCATCTGTCGTTTGTAGTGGTATCAAGTTATGATAAAATTAGTAAGCAATTTAAAAAAATGCCCAAATTGCACAAGCAAAGTTATTTTATAAATAATTTGGTAAAATAAGTAAACTAAAGTTACAGCGGATATACGTTCCACTCCTGGACACAGGTCTCCTCCCAATACGGAATTTCCTAACATAATATACAAAATTTATTAACTCGTAATTCCGAAACCGTTTCGACATTGTACATTTCTAATAGTGCAATTCCTAATTGTTCATAACTGGTTACTCTATATACATTAAGCCATTCATATTTTAATTTCATTTTCTAAATGACTACTGTGTTGCGGTTAGAAAGATGTTTAATAACATGTTGTAAGGTATTCCTTCTTAGTCTTCAAATATGACAACGCACCTGTACTCTCCTTTTTTGAAGTTAGTTGCAGATAGCATTGGGTTGGTGCTAGTTACTATTAGCTCGTTTATAACTTTGATATTATTAAAAAAAAAACCTGACACCCTACACAATAGTCTAGAAGTCCTACTACTATATATAGTCCTACTACTATATAGCGCATAGTGTTCAGTGACGTTTTCTTCGCAGGTGAACCGTGAAGATCTGGATAGCAGGCTGGCCCACATCCAGGTGACATGGGTGAGAGCGGCGCCCGAGGGCATGGCGGCCGCGAGCACAAGCGGCGAGAGTTTGTTCGAGCGCGCTCACAACGTGCGCCGCTTCGTGTTTGAGACGCCGTTCACGCGCGACGGCGCGCCGCGCGGGCCCGTGCACCATCAGCGTCTGCGACTCACGCATCTCACCAGTACGTGACGACCTATTTTGTTAACTATGCTACTGATTAGAGTACAATTTTGAGTGAACTAATAAAACGAACAACGCTGTGAAATACTAACAGTGGCGAATCCCTCACACACAGGTAGGCGACGATCTGTTGTATAAGCCGCAATTTTATTTTATACGTACACACCATAGATTTAGAGGTAAATCGCGTGTCGCGCTTTACTCAATTAACGGCATCAATAAACCTTTTAAATAAAATTAGTTTTTACGGATTTCATCGCGTATATTAACTTATTTTATTTTGGCTAATTATTTTCGAGGCGACTAACTATTTTGTTACAAAGAAAATTCGGCAACGATTAAATATTTTAGCAATAGCCAACCCGCTCGCCAAGCGTGGCAACTATGGCAAATACCCCCCTATGATGAGAGTAACAAAGAAACGGCCCCCAGTCCCCGGCGGCCCCGCTATTCCTGGCTACGGTGGCGACCATGGTAACGGCGGGGCAGGGGGTGCTAAGAATCTCCGGTGGAGGTTCGGTTGCCACCTAAGACGACTCGACCTGACAACATACAACGCACGCACCCTGAGGACTGACGAGAAGATCGTGGAGCTGGAAGAAGAGATTGACAAGTTACGCTGGCTATTATAGGATTATCCGAAATCCGAAGAGAGGGGGAGGACACGGTAATCCTCGAATCCGGCAACTTGCTCTATCACCGGGAGGGCGACCATCTGTCCCAAGGAGGTGTCGGATTTATTGTCCTCAAGTCTCTCGTTAACAACGTTGTAAAGATTAAGAGTGTGTCGACGAGGGTTGCCTACCTTATACTCAGAATCACCAAACGGTATTCGCTGAAGGTCATACAGGCTTACGCACCAACCTCGGCGCACCCCGATGAGGAGGTGGAGAAAATGTATGAGGATATCTGTAGAGCCATGCATTCCTTCAAAACCTAATATAAGGTGTTAATGGGAGACTTCAATGCAAAACTAGGCACAAGTGAGAATGGTGAGCTGAAAGTAGGGAAATTTGGAATAGGGCAACGGAACGGAACGGAACTCTTTATGATGAACTCTTTCTTCCAGAAGGGGCTCTACAGGAAGTGGACCTGGTCGAGCCCCGACGGTTCCACAAAAAATGAGATTGAGTTCCTTATGACGACCAGACGACAACTGTTCAGTGATGTCTCCGTGATCGCGAGGGTGAAAACTGGTAGCGATCACCGAATGATTAGAGGCACACTGAACCTAAACGTTAAGTTGGAGAGGTCTCGTCTAATGAAGTCAACGCTCCGTCCCCCTCATGCTCTGTTCCAGAGTACCGAAATCTTTCAGCTCGTGTTACAATACCGTTTTCAGTGCCTAGAAGACTGCAATGAAGTGGACGATATGAATGACAAGCTCGTGAAAACTGTCCATGCGGTCGGAGCTAAGTTTTGCAAGACCCGCCACAGAAGAACACAAAAACTCTCCGATCACACTCTTAATCTCATGGCTGTTAGACGGGATATAAAGTTGCAGTCTTCAGTAGATTTGACAGCATACAGGCAACTGAACAGACAGATCTCCAAATGCATGCGGCGGGACTTACGCAACTTCAATACAGCTTGTATTGAAAAAGCGATTGTGCAGAACCGAGGCTCCAAAGTCTTTGCCAGATATCTGTCTGCCAGAAAGAGCCAACTGTCGAAGCTGAAGACTAAGCGTGGCAGTGTCGTTTCCGGGACACCTGATATTTTTGAGTGAGATTGAGAGGTTCTATGGGCAGCTGTACACATCATCGTTGGAGCCACACGTAAGTGTGAGTAACGATCCAAAAAAGAGTAAAAAACATGTTACGCTCTCCGACTAGAAGTGGTCTAGGGGCTGAACGTAGTGACTGTCAGCCAAATTTAGCAAGTAACAGCCAAGCTCTTCAGTTCTCTGAATTTTCCTCTGATACTTTTCGAAATAATGGAAAGCAGTCTGACGATAATGAATGCATTAAAGAAGAAATATGTGAGGTGCGTAAAAAAATGGCACAAATAATGGCTATGTTCACTTAGCGCTAGTCAAAAGGACTTTATAGACAAAGTATCTAATGAAGTTGTTTTCATCAAAGAACAAATAAGCGATATAAAAACAATAGTTAACCTTTCCTCAGAACAATGTGCAATGAAATCGGACATATTAAACTTAGTTAATAAAACCACAGCTACCGAAATAAATATTTAGTCATTAGAATCCCAAGTCGAACAATTAAAAGCTACCGCGGTAACCCCCTCATCATCTTTATCAGATGAGGTGTATGAAAGTATGCTGACTGAAATCAAGAATCGTGAAACAAGAAGTAGGAATATCTTATTAACATGAATTCCGGAACCACTAGCTACTGACAAGGAGGAAAGGATCGATATGGATAAAAAAGAATTTACAAAACTATTGATAATTATTGACGGTGACATAACTCCTGAAAAAATGTTTCGTCACGGTAAATATAGTCCTAACAAACACCGTCCCATTAAAGTATGCTTCAAATCTCAAGAAACAGTGAAAATAATATTACGTAACAAGAAAAAACTGAAATGCGTTTCTATAAAGGTTTATTTCGACCAAACGCCTAAGCAGCAATTACATTTCAAAAGTCTTAAAGGAGAACTAAAACGTCGAACTGATAATGGTGAAAATAATCTTATTATAAAATATGTAAAAGGTATGCCCAAAATAATCACTGCCAAAAAATTAAGCAAAATGGGGCCTGCTAACAAAAACATATATCTAACCCCCAAATGATGATATTTCTTATATGCTAACGTTCGCAGCATTGTAATACGCGGCAAATTTGATGAATTAATGTGTATCATAGAAACATTTAAAAATCTACTCCATGTAATGATTTTAACTGAAACTTGGATCAAATCGGAAGAAGAAGTAAAAAAAATTTCAAATTCCAGGATATACACACTATTGCAATTATAGATATGAAGTAAGAGGTGGTGGAGTCTCTATTTATGTTACTAACAAAATTAAACATAACTTAGTTGAAGAACAACATCTTAATGGTAACCATTACCTTAGTGTGCACTTAGAAAATCATGCTCTTGACATTCGAGGAATATGTAGAAAACCAGGAACCGCAAACGTCAAAGAGTTCATTGATACTTACTCCCAACAGTTAAACAAAAGAAAAAGAGAATTGATTTTGGTGACCTAAATTTTAACCTATTAGGTATGGAACAAATAACAAATATTTACAAAGAAATGCTAGAGGAAAGTGGCTTTAAAATTTTGAACAAAATTGATGAATATCACTGTACTCGAAAAACTACAACAAAAAATCTCTAATAGACCACGTATGCACGAACCTAAAAGAGAAAAAATTTCATCTTGCCATCATTGAAACGCCAATGTCGGATCACAAGCAAATATACTTTGAAATTAAAAAAATATCAAACCAAAATTCGAGAGAAAGTAAAATATGATGCAATAGACTATGGAAAACTATACAAAACTATGATAGATGACAAAAGTGATAATAGAAGCCATTTATATCACCTTTTAGAAGAGAGAATAACAGCAAGTCTTATGAAAAGTAAAACTATCAAAACTAAGATACTTAATCCGCCAAGGCAGAATTGGATAAATAAAACGATAATAAATGAAATAAATAAAAGTAATATACTATGGCACCATTATAAACGTAGTCCAAATGACAATATCATAAAAGATAATTTTACAAAGAAAAGAAATGAAGTTTCTGAAATAATACAACATTCAAAAAGTGAATATTATCAAAAAGAATTTTATGACTGCAAAAACAAGCCAAAAAATGTGGTGTGGTGTGTGTGTGGTTATGGCCATGTTCCTATTTTCTCCTCGTTTTAGTAAACTTTATATACAACCTCATTGTATAATTTAAGAAAGCCTATTTTCTACTTTTTATCCGCCGTCAAGTGGTCGCTTAACAATAAATTCAGTTAAGGCGCAGGTTGAGCAAAATGTCGCGCTAGTCGTTATTTGTGCGATTTTTAGGAGCTATCTGCTTTTTATTTAAAAGATATATCAACAAATAAAAAACACATTATATTTCTACATAATCTTGATTCCATAAAAGCTATATCCAATTTTTTTTTAAAGGAATAAATATAAATATAATCTCCTTACAACGAAACCACATAAATGTGAAATTATTATTGATAACATGCATCTCCTCGTAAAGTAAGTATTATTTTATTTTGCGATTTACACCAATGGATAGGCAATTTATTAATAAACATTTCTATAGTAAATTTTTTTCAAAAGACCAAAATTTGATTTTATTAAGAAATTATTTTAAAATCTGGGCATATTAACTGCCCACGGGCTTGCTGAAGTCAGTGAGCCCGAGCTCTTCGACGTGAAGCCCGTGTCGTTAGAGCGTCGACCAGCGCATACGCCACGTCATATCAGCCGATAATATTATTACTTATTAGGTTATTTATAGGTAGTATTATTTGTTTGTTTTGGGTATAATTTTTCGTATTAGTTATACATATATTTGTTGTGTTTTTTACGGCGCGATGAAGCTTTTTGCGTGTATTTTCTTTAAAGTAAATGCAAATAAAAAAAATGAATCACCATTAGCATGTAAGGTTCGAATCCATAATTATAATTTCGACAAATATTATAATTTACACTATAAAAGGTTAATTCAATATTATCAGCCAACCACAATATCTTATTAGGTATAGTACTGCCTCGTTGGTCTAGTGGTTGTCGTAGTGCGACTGCTGATCATGAGGTCCCGGGTTCGAATCCTGGGTCGGGCCAAAAAGTCAGTTATGAGTTTTTCATTTATGTTCTAAGTTATAATTAGTATTACTAAGTTATAGTTTTCTGCTAAAATATAGTATATTATTTATTGCTTGTTTTTTCTTCTTTTTCAAAAAATAATTGAGTACATAAGGTGTTCTATACTTATAATTCGGTAAAAAGTATCTAAGTAGGTACTAATATACCTACATTTTACTAAAAATTTTTAAAACTAAATTTAACTAAAAAGACTAAACTGACCATTTATTTTTTAACTCAAAACAGGACATGGGTTTATTTATACTCTAAAAACTATAACTTTATACAATTAGTGTTCACTATAAAATTATATTCGGTATAGACGGTAATTATTAAATGCAACATATTTTTTTTTAATTATTAATTACATTTGTCAGTGGATTAAATTTGCTTTAATAAAGTTGGTGATGATTTTAAATAAGAATAAAATTCTGCTCAAGTTTTTTTATTGTTATCTTTGTTAACAACATCGCCTTTAGAACTCTGGAACCGTAAGTGTTTCTTTCAGACGTCCACAATTTATTCAAAATAAAAAAATACTCTTTCTACCGGAGCATTCGTACCAGGTAGACATAAAATATATTCGATTAAAAAAAATTATGTTGAAGATTGTTGACTTTGAATACTTCCATCCAACGAGTTACGGGACAATATTGTGTCCCGGAGCTTTGTTTGGGGACAATGGGACAGGCGACCGAGAAAAGGGACAGTCCCGTTCAAAACGGGACGTATGGTCACTTTAGCTATAACCCGGCGACGACTCCGTGACGCAGTAGTTTAGCAATCAGTTGTTGCGTTGGGGGCCGCGGGTTCGAATCTCGCACGGAACAAGTATTTGTATGACCTACAAATAATTGTTCCGGGTCTGGATGTTTGTCCTTGTGCAATTTATGTTTGTAAACTGCCTCCACGACACAGGAGAAAATCCTAGTGTGGGGGTAACGTTTTTTTACAATTGAAATCGAAAGATTGAACCCTTATACTTCTTGTTGATTTTTGTATTACCTTTATTAAAGTTACCCTTATGTATAAATAAATATAATTACGTATGTAGAAATGTAGAAATAAAATTGATTTTCATCCTCATCAATCATTGGGGCGAGGATAATGTCTGCATAAGTAATAAGCAGGCTATGCCAGCAGGTATGCTACTTTTCAATACGTGACACGTAAAAATTAACAATAATCAAAAACACATCTACGAAACATCCTATTTATTTATTTATTCTTTATTGCACCAAATATTTGTACAAAAGGCGAGCTATCTATTTATTTACCTACAGTGAATAGGTATCTTTTAAACTCACAATTTTCAATGCTTCATTTTTAATATATAATTAATTATAGAATTTCATAATTAGATAATATATGAAAATACATAATTCTAATATAATGCAACTAATATACCGAATAAAAAAATTAAAATACATTTATCGTTGTACGCTGTGTGTATTTCCATAAATTAGTTTATTGATGTTGAAAATGAAGCGGCGCGCCGCCGGCGAAATGCTCAAGGTCGTTCGCATGGAGTAGCCCCTTAACAAAACAAAACATCAATGCCAGTTTAAATTAAAATAAAGCTTACAACTGATTATAAAGCTGCTAAATTCTACTTTAAATTATCCTTCACTGTAGCTGCCAACCTACTATTTTTGCTACCGCCTTTAAGTTTTTTTTTTAAATCCCTAATTCAGATAAATTTGTCGCCGCGTTAAATAGGTACATGCCTTTTATATTACCGACGTTTCGAGCACTTTACAGCACCCATGGTTATGGGAGGACTGAGATGTTCCACGTCCCAATGTTATAGTTAACCATGGCTACCTCCAGATTAAAATTATTAATTTTGTTCCGATTTAGGCAGTATGAACTTATAGTATTCTGAATGAAGTCTTGCAGTTGTATGCTTGGGTTGGGATTTAATTTTATTAATTTTAAAATCTCAAGCAGGTGGCTCAGCTCAGTAAAAGACAGTTATTTTGATGTTATAGACAGACATTTCAATTTTATTTATAAATATTTATGGAACATTAGTCATAACGTCTATATACGAAGCAGTCATTTGGAGTTTCCCTTGATAAGTGTGTGATTTAGATTTAAAACCACCGTTCAGACTGTAAATTTTACAAAGATTGACACTATGGACTAAACCAATTACTCAATCTAATTGATTGACGACATGAATATGAAATAAATAATTGAAAAGGTCAGTTTATGTATACATTATTTAAACGCGTTTCGCTCATAGCTGTACGAGGGTGGATTGAAAAGTACTCGGCCTAACACAGATCCATTCAATTCTAAAAATCAATTCTACCCACATTATTTAGTTCAGTTCAGACTAGTTCATTGTGTGAAGTTCGAAACGTGTGCGATAATTAGTTGTGATTTTATAAATTTATTAACAAAGTAATCGGACATAATTTCCGCGAATGGAGCAAATCGAGCAGCGTGCCGTCATTAAGTACCTCCATAAAAAGGGGCTATCATCAAAAGCCATCCATGATGACATGGTCAGTACATTAGGCGATTGTGCTCTGTCATATTCATCCGTCAAAAAATGGATAGCAGAATTTAAGCGTGGTAGAGAGAGTGTGAAAGATGAACCCCGCTCTGGAAGGCCTTCGACGTCAACTACTGACAAAAATATTAAAAAAGTACTTGATTTAATAATGGGAGACCGCAGATTAAAAATTAGAGAGATAGCCGAGATTATAGGCATCTCTTATGAACGAACTCAAAACATCATTGTCAACGAGTTGGGTTTCCACAAAGTGTCTGCGAGGTGGGTTCCGCGACTGCTTTCAGTTGAACAAAAAAGGACGCGATTGACTATTTCACGCGACTGTTTGGAGTTATTTGAAGCCGATGCAGATGATTTTTTGAATCGTTTTGTTACAATGGACGGAACATGGGTTCATTACTGTACACCGGAAACAAAACAACAATCAAAACAGTGGAGAAGACCTGGTTCACCACCCCCTAAAAAGGCTAAGTCGATTTTGTCGGCAAATAAGGTGATGGCTTCAGTATTCTGGGACTCGAAAGGTGTGATTATGATTGATTATCTTGAAAGGGGTCAGAATATAAACTCTGATTACTACTGCACCTTACTACGTCGTTTACGAGAGGAAATAAAAGAAAAACGTCGAGGAATGCTCAGAAGAAAAGTCCTGTTTCATCAAGATAACGCCCGTGTTCACACGTCAGTACAGTCAATGGCTGAAATTCACAACTGTGGCTTTGAACTGTTACCGCATCCGCCGTATTCACCTGATCTGGCACCATCAGACTTCTTTCTGTTCCCTAACCTAAAAAAGCACTTGGGAGGTCAAAGATTTTCGACAAACGACGAGGTCAAAGCAGCTGTAGACGCATATTTTGACTCTAAGGAAGAATCATTTTTTTTCAACGGTCTAAATGCTTGGAAGGGGAGGTGGCAAAAGTGTATTGAACTTGATGGTGATTATGTAGAAAAATAAAAATATAACTGATTTAGTATTTGTTTATTTTCTTGGTTAGGCCGAGTACTTTTCAATCCACCCTCGTATTTTACCTAGATAATTTAAATTTTTTATAGCGTGACGTCCTAATATTATTATAAATATATACATTATTAATGTAATTGACTTAATTTTATACAATGATGATAATTGATGTCTTACATCATACATTAATAATCTATTAATCATTAATACTGTCATTAATATGATATTTAAAACAGTAAATTTAATATTTAAATATCTTAGTTATTTAAGTAACTATCACTTACTACAAAGTAAATATTTATAAATAATTGGAATAAATAGGTAACAACATAATGTTGTGTTTGCCTTTTTGTTTTAAATTTGCTTTCCGTACTTTCTTTCCGTGAAATGCAGTAGCTACTTACGATCAGATGGACTGTAGTAAACTGTAGTATTTATAGTTTAAGTGTAGATTAATTTCACGCACGCTAATCTTTCAAGTTCTGAAATTGACACTAAAAACACCACTGTAAATTTTCAGCTGAAAATTGGTTCCCATATGTGAAGCGGCGTATCCCCGTCATCGAGACTCAAGTAGAGGAGAAGAGTCCTATAGAAGTAGCGGTGTCTGAAATGGAGTCGCAGGTTACGGAACTAACGGAAATTGTTAACGCAAAAGCACCCGATCTAAAGAAGCTCCAGCTGAGGTAACTGTAAATGTTGAAAATTCTACGTTCATTTGTATCTTTATAAAATAAAATAAAATATAAAATATATAATGATGTATAACGTTTCGTAGAATACGAGGGCGGCACTGAAAATTTCGGGAAACAAGGAAGTGACACAACATCACTATTTAAAAATTAATTTATTGCTTTTCGAAGTATTCTCCGCGAAATTTTACACATTTTTCCATACGATGGAACCAATCATTGAAGCAACCATTCCATTCGGAAGTTGGGGTCTCCAAAATGGCCGTTTTGTAGGCGTCCACAACTTCTTCAGGTGATGAAAATCTCTGTCCACGCAATTTATTCTTTATTTTAGGGAAAGTATAGAAATCATTAGGGCTTAGGTCGGAGCTGTACGGCGGATGGTCTAATAATTCTATGTTTTCTTGCTCTAAAAACTCTTTTGTTCTGTGTGCGGTGTGAGAACTCGCATTGTCGTGATGGAGGATGATGCGGCGGTTGCAGTTCTCTTTACGGAGTTCAGAAACGACCTGTGGCAAACAAATGCTAGCATACCATTCTGCATTAACCGTTCTTTGTCCCTCAAGAGGAATAATCGTAACATGGCCGGTTTTGGAGACAAACGTGGCCACCATTTTTTTTTGCAACACTCCGTGAACGAACAATTTTTGTTGGCTTTAACTCATTTTCGAACACCCAAACTCGTAACTGATTTTTTGTTTCGGGTTCGTACGCGTATATCCAGGATTCGTCACCTGATACGATGTTGTATACAGCATTTGAGGATCCTGCGTGGAATCTTTCGAGAGTTCTGACGCACCAAGTAACGCGAGCCGTTTTTTGCTCTTCACAGAGCGAATGCGGTATCCATCGGGAAAACAACTTTTTTACACCTAATTGTTCATGCAAGATTATTTGTATTTGACTCATGCCAATGTCTAAAGTTGCCTGAATTTCGCGGTATGTCACATGTCGATCTTCCTCAATCAGCTTACGCACAGCATCAACGTTTTCTTGGGTGACTGCAGTTTTTGGACGACCTTGACGGGATCATCACTGAGCTTGACACGTCCACGTTGAAATTCAGCATACCAGCGATAAATTGTGGTTTTGGATGGGGTTTCATCACCAAATGCAGAAATCATCCGGTCAACACACTGTTTTTGTGTTAAACCACTTCGAAAGTCATAATAAATCATCACTCTTGAATTTTCTCGAGTCAATTCCATTTTCTCAACGACTAAACAAGTTTGACAAAACCTTGTGACAAGACCGAGAATTTTTTTTAAATAAATAAATGGTATTCGATTTTTAAACCCAAGCAGTCTTATTCCAAAAAAATGTTTTAGTACTGGGTTAAGTTTAGGAGTAAGAAGTCCAGGTTTGTTACAATATTCTAGTTAATACCAGCACTAAAACGTGTGCTTATTACAAAACGCAGACTACCCGAGGACCAGTTAATACCAACGTTAGTATTATATTAAATATCATTCACAGATAAAAAACAAAAAATGACACTCTATCATTCGTTCATACAGGTTTCATTCAATGCAACGTTCGGTTTCATAAAATATTAATATTATTTTCACATTTAATTATGCTTAAATAATTATCCATCAATACAAAAACATATCATACATTGTTATTTGTTTACGTTAAAATCTATTGAACAAGCACGACATATACTTTTGACGCGCTTTTGATTATATCAAGTTGTTTTCAGTTTAACAACTCTAGCGTGAAATGTAGTGAATTACAGAGGTAACGCGAGCGCGGGATTCGAGACGTTCAAAATAGTTTATATTGCAGCCTTATAATAAGTAAATTAAATTATTAATAATTAATTAAGTACTTGCTATTACAATTATATTTATATAATAATGGAACAAAAGAAAAAACGGGGTGAAAATTGGAGTTCTGAAGAAAAAGTTAGTGAAATATCGAAATTTATTTGTCAGTACGTAGCAATACTCTTATCCTCCTATTATCCTTATTTCAACTAAAAGGAATGTTCTTATTATTATAGGAAATATTACGTACACTTATTTCACAATCAGCACATATAATAGAGAATAAGTCGACAAAAACATCGGTAAATATTCAAAAAATAAAAGAGTGGAAGAATATAACTAATAAGTAAGTACTTATCGCATTTGTTATGTGTACAAATAGGTACGGTATTGTTTACGTGATTTCGTATTATTTTTTTTAGATTTAATGAGCTAACAGGTAAACGCCGATCAGATGGTGAATTGAAATTATCTTGGAAAAGAATGAAGTTGTGTGCTAAATCAAACTTATACACATATAGGAGGGAACAATCAAAGACCGGGGGTGGCGGAAAACCTCCATCACCTTCTCTTGAGGACTTGGAAATAATGTCCATTGCCCCTCACGACTTTATCGTTGAAGTTAATAATTATGATAGTGATGCAGTGGTAAATAAAATTACTTACATGTCTTACAAATTTAATTAAAATTAAAGAACTTTATTTTCCATTACTTTAGTACCTAGGTAGTGCTCTGAAATCTACTCTTAAAGCATACAATTTACAATCCAAAATTATTTTCCGAATATTCAAAATTTAATATACTTAGTAACAATTTAACATAAATTCCTTTATAATTAATTATATTCAAAATTGAAATGTCACAAATTCATATATAGTGGTCTATATAATATCATAACACACATTTTACTAGATTATCTACACAGTCCGATTATAATTTTCTATTAGGTATTATAATTAATAATTTATTAAATTACCTTTTGTCTTGGATCATAATAATATTTCTACAACATAGAAAATACCTGATTCAATAAAGGGCAAAATAGAGATGACAGGTGACAGGAAAACATGTTAATAAATGTTTTAATGATTTATTTTAGGATCCAGTGACTGTGGCTACAACATCAAAAGAAGTTGCTGACCCTAAGCCTCGCCTTAATTTTGAAAAAACAGACACAGCTATAGTTAAAAATGTAGAAAATCCAGAACCCAATGTTGTATATGTGCAAGGTAAATAATACTGATTGAATATTTATTAAAAAGCAAAATATATTATTATTATAGTTACAATCATATGCATACAAGTTTGTAAATATTATAAATGTTAATTTTCTAAAACTGTTATATTTATATTAATTTTTAGAGATAGATCCAACTACAAATACAGAAGAAAGTGCCAAAATGGTGAAAATAACCAACAATAAAGATATTATTACTAGGGGTATAACAAAAATTAAAAACAGGAAAAATAGCTTGCAAAATAGGTATGTTGAAAAAATTACATAGTCTGATACATTACATACTTTTTAAAATGTGAAAATTAGTATTTAAACACTGAAAATTGTTTCATGTTTTCAAATATTAAAAGCAAAGTTTAATATGAATTGATTTAAAAATAATTAAAAAATATTTCTTTAATTGGTGTACAAGGTTAAGTGCACTTTTATTACTCTAGAATACTTTGTAAATTTCTAAAATAACTACAAAACTTACATTAAGTATTCCATTTCATTTTACAGAAGAGAAGATGTACACCAAACAATTGTAAAAAGTAACACAGATTTTAAAAAAAGACAACTGGAAATGATGGAAGAGGAACATAAATACAATATTAAAATAGCTAACCTAAAAATTAGAAAATTAGAGTTACAAATATTTTTATTAGAAAGTCAGAAAAACACAAGTTAAATAGCAGCTTAATGCTGCTGTGTTTATTATGGTGAGTTTATAGAATGAAAATAGAATAGAATGATTTTTATTAAATATAGATTATTACAGAATACTTATTGAAAGACATTTTTTATTTACCACTGGTTCGGAAAATACCTCAGTCCTGGGAAGAACTAGTAAGAAACCCAGCGGGACTTTTTTATAAACATATTTCTCTTAACAATAATTTTATTTGTACAATTTTTAAATGAATTTTAATAGAACCACCATGGTGGCGATCACCTCAATTCCAGTATTTCCAATATTCTCATTTATGTATTCTTTGATATTATAATAACCTTTTTATAAAATTTTTCTTTAATAAAACATTTAAACTTGTTTATTGACAAATTTTGGATAAATTTTTGTACAAATTTTGTATGAGAGAGACCTCTTTTACAGGAAACGAGGCATTCCATCTTACTCCACACGGGTGACAACGCATCTGCATTTTGATTTGTAGTCGAGGATAGATGTGGACGTCTATGCACCACAGCAGTTACTTAACATCAGATGGACTGTGTGTGTGTATGTGTGTGTGGTAGACTGTGTTTTATCACCATTATCCTATAAAAAAACTAAATATTTGAGACTATATCAGATACATGTTTGTAAATATCCTCATATATGAAACAATTATTTTCAGGTACTAAATTGCTGCAAATATTTGTACATCTTTTATTAATAATTAAAATAAATAATTATAATTAATATGCATTTTATTTACATAACAGTGAAATATAATATACAATAGTAAAAAACTATAATAAAAAAAACTAAACCTAATTACTTAGTCATCATACAGTCCTACTCCCCGTGGACCCGTGCACCTCTGGAAAGGAAATCCGGCTGTGAATGTAGAGGAGGGACGATATTTATTAAAAAATCTAAACATATCTCTAAAGCACTTAAATCTTTATATAATATAGCTTCATATTGATGTGGAATGTGCTGTACCCCGCATCTTTCCCTGAAACACAATCATTTATAGCCTAAATAAAAGCATTTTGCTCAATAAATGAAATATTATCACAATACTACCCTGAATTTATTTCATATTGGTGAATATGTAGTCGTTATTCTTTGACAGCTGACAACGGCTCTGCAGAAATATTTTCCTTTATAAATGGGTATTATCTCTGAAATCAAAAAGAAATATTATTATAATTGTCTTATACATTTATTGATCCTTAATGTAATTTTATAGCCAAAATTGGCCTCTGAATAACAAAATAAAATAAATTATATATACATAGCTTTAGACAATTGAAAAAAAATTGACAATTTTATAAATATAATTATTAATTTTAATTATAAATAGCTATATAAATATGTAAAAAAAAAATGTTTACCTACTGAAAATGAGTTTCAATAAACTGTCTTCTTCTAATATTTCCCCTTATTGATGGTGCAATATATCTTTGTACTATAGGTTCAGATGAATATTGTTCAATGCTATCTCTCTCACCAGGAAACACATCTTCTCTCATGTCGATGGCCATATTGTGTAGTACAGCACATGCAACAATTGTTTTTTTTGCTGTTTCAATATCTCCAAACATACCTCTTAATAGGCAACGAAACCGTTGCTTCCACAAACCAAAACATCTTTCCACTGTGTTCCTGGTACAGATATGGCTCCTATTATATCTTTCTTCTTGTGGTGTTGTGGGGTTCAGCAGCGGTGTAAATAGGTAAGGGGTACAAGCATAGCCACTGTCACCAAGTAATATTCCAGAGAATGCACCAGCCTCAAACCTCTGTTTTAGTCTACATTCTCGGAATATTCTGGAGTCATGTACACTACCACGCCACCTGGTAACAATGTCCATGATTTTCAGGTCAGCGTCACAAACCACCTGTAAAATAAGAGCTCATTAGTACTTTATGTTTTTCTGGTTTATTTTAATATATATTTATTACCATAAGATAGTCAAACAAATTATTTTCTATTATGATAAAGTAAAGTTATTAAGAGACAATCACAGCTATTTAAAATATTTGTATATTACCTGTACATTAATTGAAGAAAATCCTTTTCTATTAATATATAACTGACCCCCATCAGCATTCACTTTCTTTACTCGTATGTGAGTACAGTCAATTGCGCCAATTACTGTAGGAAAATTAGCAATACTGCGAAATTTCCTAATGGTTTCCTGCTGTTCATTTAAAGTAGTAGGCATTTTAATAAATTCTCAGGGCTTCCGTGACAAAATTTCCGCTACTTTTTTACATGTCCTACTTACTACTGGTTGAGACACACCATGTAAATCAGCTGTATCGTCTTGAATCTACGAATAAAACAATAATATGTATTATTTGGCTTTTTATCTAGCGTAATGTTAGGTACATTGACCCCACCAAGATTATAAACAGCACTTACTTCATGGCGAGCCCAGTTGCGTAATGCACAAACCACTTGAATTTCAGGACTCAATGGGCATCCTCGAGGGTCGTGCACTAAATCCTCACGTAAGATACCCACTATTTTTTCTCCGAAACGTTTTGAGAACCTATACTTATACCTAAAATCTTCGTCACTCAATTCATACGGATTCACACGATGTCGATGTCTATCAGGTCGCCGAGTGGTGTCTAGCATGTCCAAATCTTCTAAATCCATCAAGTCAATCATGTTAATATCCATTTTTAACGATTTTAATAACACCAAATGAAAACAACGCTCACCTCAAATTAAGAAGTACCGAAATTGAGGTTAGTATAGAGTACCACAAACTATATAGAAAGGTTAGTACCATAGCTAAACTAGGGGTCTCGAAAGATTAACTTTAATACCATAGATAATCCTTGAACCAGAGATAATCTTCGTTTTGTAATAACGTTTTTCTTAGTTTATGGTTTAAATATATTACTAACTCCAGTACTATATTAAGTCCGTGTTTTGGAATAAGGCGGATAGGGTTTTCAATTAAAAAGATTTTAATATGACAGGAACAGTGGAAATATTCCATTCCCGATACTTTTCGTGCAGCTCTCGTAGTCTTAGTCCCACATGATTTTAACATCTTGTCATAATCTGTATTTAATAGAAGTGCAAAGCAACAGGAAAATCTTATAACTAACAAAAAGTTCAATAAAAAATTATACAAATATTATAATGTACTTATCAAGTAACTACTATCATTTAGATAACTGGAACCTTCTTCTTCGCCAACTGTGGAATTTCTTATTGTGAATGTGGTACTGAAACCAAATACACATGTGTACTTACTGCTACAGACACAGCCAATTCTATTTAACCAAAAATTGGCATTTGCTGGTATCGCCTTAGCTGTGAACCCTTATTGATAATTATTACATCTTTGGATAAAATAAATTATCCTACATAATTACAAATCGTACGATACAACATTCTGAGACACAATATGCGCATATTTATAAAAAAGCATGTACCCTTTTTCGCGTCAATTAACACAATAAATCTAAGTAAAGATTTATTGTAGTAACGCAGAGGCTCCGCCCGAATCAAAGTTCACCATGTTCTTAGTGTTTTATATTCTTTTTGGCTGTGCTGAGTATGCATTGCATTACCTCTTTTCTGCCGACTTCCAAAAAGAAGACGGTACTCAATCCGACTGTATGTTTTTTTTTTGTGTGTTACCTCATAACTTTTTATTGGGTGAACCGATTTCGATGATTCTTTTTTTATTTGAAAGCTGGTACTCCTCGTGTGGTCCCATATGAATTTGATCAAGGTCTGACCAATGGTTTTTGAGTTATTTTAATAACTTATATTGAACTCGGCTGTACAACATTTTTAATTTTAAATTATGTCAGAAACCTTCGTGGGCGCACCCACAACAACTCAATATAGTTTCATTGTAATAGAATAAATGGATTTTGAACGCGTAAAGACGAACGAATACACAATTCCAGTTTTGAGAGGTAAAAGATGAAGTAAATATATTTTTTCTAGATAGTTATGTAGGGTTTAAAATTAAAGCTCCTTTAAGCACCGTTGCAGAAAAAACATTCATTCATTTCAGCCTATCAAAAATTGACCGCTGTACATAGCTTCTCCTCATCCGCTTCTCATCTCCTGTTTCTTTTCTCTCTGTCACCTCTTATAACTTCCATGGGATGATATGCGGTAGTAGATTCTCATTCGCCGCCAATACACGGCGTTACTGGCAGGGATTTGTATCGATTTAAACTGCGACTTCTAGTGTCCGACCGAAACAAGATTTTTAACCGAAACTGAAACTTATTTAGACATGTCAGAATTTCTATTGCAAACACGGTAAAACTGCAGCAATTAATTCGTACTTAAATCGCCGTGTAGTGGTGCTGTAAGAATTTCCACTACCCCATATCAAACCCGTGGGTGTCGTAAGAGGCGACAGGGGGAAACAAATTAGGAGATAGGCAGCAGCGTCTTACTAAAAACGACTAAAAATAAAAAAGCTGCGGTTGCTAACCCGCTTGCCAAGCGTGGCAACCATGGCAAATATCCCCCCTATGAGGTAATCTATGGGGGAGGCCAATATTCGTCAGTGGACTTTAATAGGCTATAACGGTAACGTAAATCAAGTACTTAATTCAATACAAAAAACATATACGCAAAAACTTTATACTTTTGAACTGTGTGGGTGAGTCTACCCTCACATCTGTTTGGCTCTTCATTTCATACCCTTACCCATAACGTTTATATCGTACTTCTTTTTGGCATATGTATTTCACTTAATCTACAACAGTTTTTAAAACCACTACTTAAAGTTACACTAACGTCACTAACCATTTTTTTGTGTAGCTATTTAATCGTTTTAGTGGACACTTCTGTTCAATATAAGATTTACCCGACAAAGTACAAACGGAATATCATAGCAAACAATTTTTATAATATAAATGTGATTTTCTTGCAGGCTGCAAGGAAGCATATGCGTACAAGTTAACGCCGGTCCGCTAGCGTATGCGAACGCGTTTTTGGATCCAACATTGGCACCGATGTATCCCGACGAAATGGTTGATAAATTGAAAGCAACTTTCAAGTAAGATCTTAGTATAAACTTATACAACTACTATATAAACTTAAACAGCTTCTTTAAAAAAAATAACGCGTAAGAATTAATGATGAATTAGTATTAAAAGTTGTATAAGAATATAGCTCCCAGCACCAGCTGTATATGTAAAACATTTGTGCCATTGAACAAGAAACACCATTATAATTAATTTTGGTCTATATTTTACAGGGAGTTCTTAACAGTATGTCACTCAGCGCTTCAACTGAACGCAAAACTCATTAGTTCAGATCAAGTGTCTTACCACGAAGCCCTCGAGACTAACTACTACAAGCTTAGCGACTCACTGTCCGGAATGCTGGGCCAACCTTTACAAGATATACTCGTGAATGGTAACCTTAGTACCACCGTCACTGGAGTAGAATTGGAGTCCAGTAATGCTTGAAGCATTGTCTTAAGTAAATTAGACAATCCATAAAGTTTGATTCAAAAAACCTCGTTCTCAAGGGAAGAGTCGGTATAGTTGTCGTGATCGGATTTTGATAATGCTCTAATAATGTATTCTTGGAGTCTCAAATTTAGTCAAATTATTTCTGTTTTATCTATGTCTAAGATCTGAACGTAATTCAATTAGATTACAGATTTTAAACCTATGTCTTATTTATAAAGCCATTATGCTCATTTTCTCCTCTTCACCATAGGTGCTGCAAAGCGCTGGAAACTTCGGAGATTAAAATTAAAGAACTATACAAATAAAATGCATAAAAATATGCATTATTCAAAGTGAATTTTGTCATCATGCTTTTTGTGTAAAACTTGTGATATGGTATTTTCGATCCTGCCTGTAAAAACCCTAATCAAAACTTATACTAAACTAAAAATAGCAACTTGATTTTAATCTAAATTAAGAACAGTTTTGAAGCAATGTAATTTATTTCTCAAAATATAAACAAATGGCAACAGAATTGAAATTTCTTGTTATACATTTGATACGAATGGTAAGTTACATTTAATGAAACTGTTTAAAAAAATCTTTCAAACACGTCTCGTGAAAACTAACACCAATAATAATAAAACTCTTTACACTATTGTAGTTCATAAGATGTTTGTCCTATTCTCATCTATTTATAATCAATGGTTCCTTAAATATGTCTACAATATCTCTTTAGAGCGTATAAAAATACTACAATGTAATATTATATCTAGCAACTTTGTACTGATTTTTTATTTATACTAATAAGTTTGCATGAAAAAAGTGACCTGATTATTTTCAAAAATACCTTTGAAGTTGTTGATTTATGTCACTCGATTAAGTTATTTTGAAATGTCTGTACTATACAGTAGAGTCACGATTTGTTTCATCGTTCAAGTTAAATGTTGAATAGATTTAAATATCTGTTTTATTTATTTTGTTTATTGTCGTCGAATAGTTGAACATTTGTGTTATATTATTTCGCTTGAAGTTTTTTTTTTTTAATTCTTATTGCTTATTAGATGTGTGCTATGTGATATTCACATGATGTTTTTAATACTCTGTTCATTCCACAGCTTTTTTATTTATTGTTTTTATATATTTAAGACGCTTCAAAGTAAAGTTCAATTAATGTGGATGTTATAGTCTCAATTATATTAGTAAATAATATAAAGTACTATACAAATAATAAATAATTACAATTATTATAATGATTTTCAGTGGTATTGACAATGGAGTATTTGGGTATTTACTTTATTATTTATGATATTTGTGATTGATTAATGGCATATGTTAATGTAACTAAATGTTTAATCATACTTATTCTTGGTCTTTCAAAAAACCAACTTACTAGAAAGGAAAATATTACTAATTATATATCTAAAATAATATTCGGTTAATATTTAAAAATATATAGTTTTCATGAAAAGATAGCTAGATACTCTATTGTTTTAATTACTATGAAAGTTGTTAAACCATTATTTGTAAGGGAGAACAAGTAAAATTTGTTATTAATTATATCTATCTTAGTCGAAATGTGACTATAGGTATGCCATAAAAACTTTTATAGTGTTAGGAAAACTACATTCTGTATGTAGTCTTTGTATTAATATTTATAATCACCATGCACAAATTATGTACTCATGTCTTTTATTGAATTGTAATCTCGATTTTGCTGTTTTAATACATTTATAAAAATACTAATTTATTTTATTTACCTTGAAACCTGGCTACTTTGCCATTTTTAGAAGAATTTAAAAGTTTAAGACCAATTTTCCTACAAAAAATGTACTGTCAGACTGGGCGTTAATGTTAAGATGTGACATTATATTTTTCATAGATTTGGTATTTATTAATCGATTATAAATCGATTGTGTTCACCATGAAACATTAATCAGGAAACTTCAACACTACGGTGTAAGAAGTGATGCCCTTAAATTAATTATTTCATATTTAAGTAAGAGAACGCAAAAAGTTGTCATTAACAATATGAGCTCTTTCGGATCGATGGTACAAATGGGCGTGCCTCAAGGCTCAATTCTCGGCCCCTTTCTGTTTCTTGTATACATTAATGACTTACCTTACATAGTAGGGGATAACCATGATATAGTATTATTTGCAGATGACACTTCTTTAATTTTCGAATTAAGTCGACAGTTACTAAAATATGACGAAGTAAATAATGCTATATCTAAATTAGTAAATTGGTTCGATGTTAATAATTTGCATTTAAATGGCACTAAAACAAAATGTATGAAATTCGTGACTCCAAATGTCAAACAATTAAATACTAATGTAATTTTAAATGGGGAGATACTGAGTCTTGTAGATACCACCATTTTTCTTGGAATCACACTAGACGCGAAGCTTCAATGGAGCCCCCATATATCAAAACTAGCAAGCAGACTTAGTTCTGCAGCATATGCTGTAAAAAAGATTAGAAGTCTAACCAGTGTTGAAACAGCTAGACTAGTTTACTTCAGCTGCTTCCATAGCATAATGTCGTATGGTATTTTGCTATGGGGACACGCAGCTGACACTGAAATTATATTTGTTTTGCAGAAGAGGGCCATAAGTTTGACCTGTTCAAAGTTCAAAAACTTTATTAAACTAAGTTTGTATAAAAAGGGTTATTATAATATTAAGGAATTTATGGATGATAATAACCCCTGGAAATGAGGTGATCGCTACCAAGCTATTTCTAATTTGTTGTGTTGTTAATTTGCATAACATCATGATTGTAAGCTGTTATTTAAAAAAAAAGTCCCGCTGGGTTTCTTGCTGGTTCTTCCCAGGACAGAGGTTTTTTCCGAACCAGTGGTAATCAAACAAAAGAGTGACTTTCAATAAGTATTATTTATAATCTATATTGAATAAAAAAGTTTCTGTTTCTGTTTATTAATGATTTAAACAAATACTAACATTAAATTGACAAAATACTCAAAAATAGAAAATGGCAAATCATGGCATCCAAAACATGGCTTATCTGAAAAAACGTAACGTTTTCCGTGTTAATCGTAATTTTGTACCACTACACCCCTGATGGCAAAGTTAACATCCATTGGTAAAGTTGCCAGACCTGACTGTATATCAACACTTTGTTTTTCCTGAAGTTTTTATTAACTTAATGTCAGTGCAGTATAAACCTCCGGAAGGACTTTATACACGTTGCATCAATAAGTTGGGTCATTGTTAAGTCTTACGCCCACACTTTTTTTTAATTTGACAGGGACGTGACCCCTACTAAATATAATTATATTTAATAGGGGTCGACGTAATAAATAATAATATTATAATTATTTCTATTGGAATATCAAGTTTCAGCAATATTGTCCCGCAAAAGTAATGTAACAGCCACAGGCAGTCGTCACCAGCAATTATAATATTTATTATATTTGAGAGTGATCACAATGCTTAAAAGAAATATTGCATTTGAAGCCATGGCTTTATTTTAGTAGAAAATTAAGTCTTATGGCAGCACTAAATGGGAATGATGTCATGACCAGACATTGACATCATAACCTCCAAAGAGTAAGTAATAAAAATCACGATATATAGTGAGTAAATGTAGTGACGTTTACCCGCCTCAAACTCAAACAGTACCTAGTCTAATCAGAAACAATGTAAAGCTAGTCGCCCATTAGGCGGGCCGGGTCATGCAGGGCTTATTGTAACAAAAAAATATTGCCTGCTAGAGACGGGGCATCAAATCGACGGAATCCGCAAGCGGATCGCTTAGAGGCAACTCGCCCCACTCAGTGGACGAGAAACTCTATTGACATAATATACACATTATGCTGAACCCAAGTTAAATACCGTTGACACAAGAAAACAATGTCCTTAAGTGATGCTCACCCATAGAAAAGTAATAGTAACCTTTTGTAGGTCACTTCTAGATGTAATGCAATATATTACTTTGAGATCCAGTATATTCATAACAGTATATGTACTATATAGTGGCGGTGTAAGAATATCCATTACCCCAAATCATCCCGTGGGAGTCGTAAGAGGTGACAGAGGGAAACAAATCAGGAGATGGCCATCAGCGTCTTCCTAATCTGTACTCTATACAAATAAATAAAATTGAAATGTTTGTTTGTAATGTCGAAATAACAGCTTTTTACTATATGCATATGAAAGTATATAAGGTAATTATAACAAAAACACGATTTTTAAAATTTTGCCTGTCTGTCTTTCTGTCTGTCTCTCTGTCTGTTTGTTCCGGCTAGCTTTCTCCAAAACGGGTGGACCGATATTGACCTGACTTTCACTGGCAGATAGCTGATGTTATAAGAAGTAACTTAGATTACTTTAATTTTAGAAAAAGAATTAGGGTTCCGCGCAAAAAATCAAAAGTCATGAAATCCAATCGTAATAAATTACGCGCGGGCAAAGTTGCGGGGAACCCGCTTGCCAAACATGCAAACTATGGCAAATGTACCTCCTATGAGGCAATCTATCGGGGAGGCTTATGTTCAGCAGTGGACTTTAATATCATGTAAAAGTAAAGGTATCTATTGTAAAGAACTACGAACAATGATGGCGAAACTCGCAGAGAAACAAAGACATTTAAGTAGTAGTAGCAATTATTTATTCTGTGGTAGTAGTAATAGACCGGACATCAGTAGCAAAATTGTCGTCTGTAACTTATGTCCTATAGGATATATCTCCGATTTTTGTCATTTAGTCTTAGTGACATCGTCAAAAAGTCAAGACGCATTCGTTTCATATATTTAAAAAATACTTTTAAAGAAAATATGCCCGGTTGTGCATTAAGATATTGTAAGTCACGATCTGGAGCAAAAAATAATCGTGATTTCGGTTTTGTTACGTACGGCGAGAGGAGCCGCCGCCTCGTCGCCCCTTCATACCCCGTTGCGCCCCGCGTACCCCGCACACCGCCCGAGTATCACGTGATGCCGCCGACGAATCAGCGCACGGCACACCTCACAACACCACTCGCATGCCGAGAC